CTTATGCTTATTTTATGCTTTGGAAATTTCACGTAAATATGTTATTAAAGAGTTGGGAGACAGAAGAAAATTTAACGCATATATGCAATATAAACATCGGCAAATGAATGACGTTTTGGATCTACTAAAAGCAGCAAAAATCCCTCAAGATCTCCCTGAATATGATGCAGTGGAATATGTACCAATTGTTGTCGATTTTTGGAACAATCAATATGAGAATACAGGTTATAAATTCAAAGTATTTGTTTTTGGAAGTGCAAGTGAGAAACCTCTATTCAAATATGGGAGCGAAAATTTCAATGTGGCAATTTCAATTTTTCACTTAAATAACCATTTTGACGGAATAAGAAATGTTGGAGGAATGTTTGGAATGGGGTTAAAATATTGCTTTACATGTGAAAAGAAATTCAGAAAATCAAAGGAGCATGACTTTAAATGTAAATCACGCTGCAACCTTTGCGGGCGCGTAGGGAGTGACAGACCATGTGTGGCTTCCAACGCTTAACTTTGCACTTTTACCCCTAAAATCTACATCTTCCATTTCTTAACTGTGCATGAATTTTATCTTCTATTCCTTAATTTTGCAACAATTTTACCTTCTAACCCTTAGCCTTGTAACGATTTTATCTTCAAACGCTTAACTTTAAAACAAAATTATCCTATAATTATTAACTTTAGAGCAGAATAGTGTGTGCGTACGCACATCACTATGTGGTCACACATGTGCTCCATATACATTCCATACCACATGTGACTTCATATGCACCCATACCACACGTGTGCCCAATGTACATGCGTGTACATCACGTGTATACCCGCATTTTTGCATAGTTTTACTCAAAACTTGTGTTATTTCTCTTAACTTTACATGAATTTTACTTCTACCCCTTAACTTTGCAGCAAATTTATCTTCTATACCTTAACTTTGCATTAATTTTATCTTCTGACGCTTAACTTTGCAACAATTGTATCTTCTTTTGCTTAACTTTACATTTTTACCCCTAAAATCTGCATCTTTCTTTGCTTAACTTTTCATGAATTGTATCTTTTATCTCTTAACTTTACAGTATTTTTGTCTTCTAGTCCTTAACTTTGCTTTAATTCTATCTTCTAATCCTTATCATTGTATCGATTTTATCATCTGACACTTAACACTAAAACAAATTTATCCTATAAAACTTAAATTTAAACAAGAATAGGGACTAACATTCAACCAATGAACAGATTACTCTTACAGCTCAAACAGAGAATATATACACAGTCTACCCAATGGGAGGAACTTTCCTCATAGCATCAATAAGGATCATATATACTGTATATTCCACACATATAAATATATACCTGCATCTTAAACCAATGAGCACACACCCCCCGTACACCCGCCAATAAGCACACACCCCTTACACCCACCAATAAGCACACACCCCCCTTACACCCTCTTACACCCGCCAATAAGCACACACCCCCGTTACATCCCCTTACACCCGCCAATAAGAAAAATGTGTGGAACACGGTTATTTTTGACTTTTTTACTGACAAATTTGTGTTACTCTTAACTTTGCATCAATTTAATCTTTTCTCCCTTAACTTTGCATCAATTTTATCTTCTTACGCATAACTTTGCATCAATTTTATCTTCCAATGCTTAACTTTGCACTTTTACCCCTAAAAACTACATCTTTTATTGCTTAACTTTGCATGAATTGTGTCTTCTATCTCTTAACTTTGCAGCAATGTTATCTTCTAATCCTTAAGTTTGCATGAATTGCAACTTAAAATTCCTAACTCTATCTTAACCTTATCTTATAAACTTTAAATTTTATTAAACACATTAATAATTCAAAAAATTTTATCTAAAGTTAAAAAATACAATTAACGAAGTTAAGCTAAAAACAAATAACAATTTTAATGAAAAAATTAATCGCTGATCACTTTTTCAAGTTCTGTAAATTCTTCTCATCCCATTCAGCAGCAAAATCCTTGAGTTGCATATTCAATTTCGCACATGCTTCACAAATCTCAAAGCAAATTCCAATATTCCCATTTTCCTTCTGAGTAAATTTATTTTTATCGTTATAAAGCGCATTGGCACATTTCTTGCAAATTCTAATTTCAATCCGCGGGGTTTCCTTGATGCGCACAAGTTTCCAAAGAATACGCGGATTTATCCCATTATTCTTCTGAATCTTCCCATTAGCTACCTTAGAGGTAGGGGATTTTGCTTTATTGATTATTTCTTTTTCCTTTTCCGCTTCCAACTCAATAATCTCTTCCTCTTCAAATTTTGGCTCATTAGGTAATTCTATTTTGGGGATCTTCTCTTTTTTTAATCCGCTCATTTTTTATTTAGTAATTTGAATTGCAAATTTTAATGAATGAAGAAGTGAATGAGAAGTTGGGAAATTTTTTGCCTTATATACTCCTCAAGCCACGCCTATTTTTAAGATTTTGCAATACTTGCAAATTTTCAAGGTCAAATTTTGCGTATAAAAGGGAAAAATCTTTTAACTTATCAATTCAATAAGTTAATTGATCATTTAATTAATCATTTATATTAATCACTAAAATATGAACACTATTTTGGATGAGATTTCTAAAAAATTAAACTGCCCGAGCTATTTGGTTAGATATAGATTAATGTATCAAGAAAATGCCGATTCGATAGCAAAATTTATTAATGAAAAGGGGAAGTTAGAGACAAATTATTCTGATAGGAACGGTGTGAAAAATAGAGTTAGATGTGACGGAATTACAACTTCAGGGTCTCATTTAATCAAAGCCTTCGGCGATTTAGGCTATCCATTCAACATATCTGTTGCGGCATATTTCTTTGCTCACCACAAGATAAAACTCCAACACCCGTTTCATCAGTGTATTATCGAAAGAACAATTACAAAGAATGGAATTTGTGAGAGATACTACCCGCTTGAACTTTTATGTTTTGCCCCCACCTCTCCCCCTTCAACTATAAGCTGTTCAACATATAATAATCGGCGCACACATGCGACTTCGCCAATATCAACACTTAGTCTCAATAGTGTTCCAATATCCGCCGGAAGCTTACCACCTACGCCCACTAATGGAAAATCCAAGCGGGGAATATTGTGGATTGAGATAGAAGGTAACCCCAACAAGTGGGAAAAGCGCAATGTTATGATATCTTTTGATTAATTTATACAAAAATTTTATTCAAATTACATTGTTATAATTTTACATGAAAAAATGAAAACAAAAATTTTTACAAATTTTTGAAAAAATCGATAATGTTAGAAATAGGAGGTTCGTATAAAAATCGCCATCTCGAAAACATTAAGTAGTTTGTTCTATTATATTTGCCAGATTTGAACTTTTTGTCCCAAAGATCCCAACGTAGAATCCACCGCCCCATATTTTTTATTTCTGCTTGCCTGGCTAAATCTGTCTTGTTCAGATAAAAAATATCTTTTATAACCCATATTTTTCCGACTTCTGTTTCATTGAACGATTTATCTTTCATCTCTCCTAAATTATTTACATCTCTGTTAGGAAATATTGGGGGAGGTGTTCTCCTCCATATTGGTATTTCCACTGTTGTATTTTTTTCTCTGTTAGGAAATAGTGGTGGCGGTGTTCTCCGCCATATTGGTATTTCCACTGGTGTATTTTTTTCTCTGCTAGGAAATATTGGTGGCGGTGTTCTCCTCCATATAGGTATTTCCAGTGTTGTATTTTTATCTCTGCTAGGAATTATTGGTGGCGGTGTTCTCCGCCATATAGGCAGCGGTGTCCTCCGAAATAATGTTGTCACATACTCTTCTCTCTTCCAGGGTTTCGAGTCCCAAGTGTCTGCCACTAGGGACGGAATAATTAATAATATAATCGAGAACTTTAACATTTTTTATTTTTAATAATGATTAATTTTGTCTTTGTTTTAGAATTAGTAATTTAAAAAAGGTATACACACTAGCATATAACCAATGAGCAGTCTCCCCTTACAATTAAACATAGATTATATACACAGAGCTACCCAATGGGGAGAACTTCCCTCATACACCACTAGTAAGGAGCGTGTATACTGTACATTGCACACATATGAATATATGCCTGCATCTTTAACCAATGAGCACACACCCCCTGACACCCACCAATAAGAAAAATGTGTGGAGCACGGCTATTTTTAGCTTTTTTACTGAAAATTTGTGTTATTTCTCTTAACTTTGCATCAATTTTATCTTTTATGCCTTAACTTTGCATCAATTGTATCTTCTATCTCTTAACTTTGCTGCAATTGTGTCTTCCAATGCTTAACTTTGCATTTTTACCCTAAAAACTACATCTTCCATTGCTTAACTTTGCATGAATTATATCTTCTATCTCTTAACTTTGCAGCAATTGTATCTTCTATTCCTTAACTTTGCATCAATTTAATCTTATAATCCTTAACTTTTCATTAATCTTATCTTATAAACTTTAAATTTTATTAAACACCTTAATAATTTAACAATTTTATCAACAATTCAAATACAATTTAAAACAATTAATGTGAAATTAACAAGTACAATAAAAATATTATAAAATATTATGAAATAACAATACAAGTGAAAAAATTATTTTTGTCCGAAATGTACAATTTTGAGGTTTGAAATTATCCCTTTTTGTATTATTGGTCTAAATATTTTCCTCATCTTAGTTGAATAAACCATTCCATCCTTCACGTTCCGGCGTATAAAGTTTGGGTTTTCAATCATAATTGCTCCCCTATCCACGTCTTCATCTTCCTCATTGTCGTTTCCTCCATTCGCATATTGAAGTACGCTTTCTTTGAAACTATCAAAGTGCAAAATCTTGCAGACATCAGCAGTTAAAGTGATGCCGCGTACTTTTAGAACACTACTAATTTTGGCATTTTTATTGTTTTCCATTCTCAGTGCATACGCCTTACACGCCCCACCAACATACTCTTTTATTTCAGATCCTGCATATTCTCTTGCCAAATCTCCTAGATGGGGGCCAGTCTGGAGTGGACACTCCTTGTCCTTTGGATGAGAGAATAATATGCTGTCTGTGTCCCCATACAGAAGATTGCAGTCAAGTTTTCCCGCAACCTTTTGCATTGCTTTCAAAAGTCTAATTCTTGCTGCTGACGTTGTCCATAGCAATATCACAATGTTGGAGGTGTCATGTTCAATTATAAATTCGTCTCTTGGTTTATAAGTAAGTAAAATTGTTTCTTCAGTTAGCTCGTCAACAGATTGTACTTCAATTGATTTGTTGCTGTCAAATTCAATTAGCTCATTAGGGGAGTTGATGATCACACTTTTCGATAGGGTATTTCTTAGGCTGAACCTTCCTCATAATGAATTAAGCATTAATTTTGAAATGTAACGCATTGCCTGATCCGGAACCATTTTGTCTCTTTGAAGCTCAATGCCAAACTTTTCCTTACATTCTTTTATAAATTTATCCTCGCTTTCTTTTCCTTCTACTCCTTCGGGGAACCCACTTGCATGGATTTTCATTGCCATAAACTCTGCCACATAATTTTTAAACAAATTTTCATCCCATTTCTCATAATGCAACGCTCTATAAAATCTTGTAACTGTGTAACCAACTTTTAATGCCTCTTCTAATTCAATCGATGTACATGTTGAGACCCAGCCTCTCTCATCATCATTGTGTGGGCAGCGGTAATCTTTGATGTTTGCACCATTTGGGTATGTGAGCGAACATTTTCTGCATAGCGGGAAAAGAAGACGTTCATCAAATTTGACGGGAATAACAGGTACATCAAGTTGCGGTGGGGGCAATAAAAATACTTTTAAAATTCCTTTGAATGGGATCTGCTCACTTCTTGTCCAGTAGACTTTTTGTTCAGCCAATGGTACAACATGCACTTTCGGATGCCCAACCGGAAATTATGTTGTAGCAATTGTTGAGGGGTAGAGTGAATTAAAGTCTAAGTAGGTAATCTTATGTTGTTCCTTTTCTGCATCAAAGTACATTTGTAATGGTCCAGTTCTCCCGCCAAAATAGCAATCTCTAATATTGATTGGTCCTTTGTTGTGGTAATTTGCAAAAGCCTTCCTCATTTTCTTATTGCGGCGTAGCATTTGATGAATTTCACATTCCCATATTACATCAACATTCTTTATATATTTTTTAATTATTTCCAGTCTTTTTTCATCATCTTCACGAGTTTCTCTTACACTTTTTCCATTGGGTAAAATTTTGTCCAGCTCATTTCCAAAACATTTCTTACAAGCGTGCCAAACACACCCATTTACTTCAATTGCCCTATCTTCTGCCTTTATATATCCATCTACTTTATATTTTCCAGCCACTACATGTTCCCCACCTTCTGAATGTGCACATTGTATTTCCACACCTTTTGTTTCTTCATACCATTGTAAATATTTCAGGGCAAGCTCGCTTTGGTTATCAATGTTTTCATACCCCTTTTCCGGAACGATTGCCAAGTGTTCAGGTTGCAGATGATTTAGACGGAAATGTTTCATGCAGGCCGATGCTATTGTCATTGCGTCCTTCAAAATATCGATTCCTTCTGCCGCTGCTCCAGGTTGTGTGTTTTTCTTTTTGCTAATTTCTGTGAATTTTTTTCTAAAGGCAATCAGTGCTTCTGTGAGTATTTGTACATCGTTTGTGCAATATTCGGCCAAAGCTTCATCCAAACAAAATTGATTATTTTTTTCTTCTTCATACCATTTAATAAATTCATTTTGCTTTCCAGGACTCATTCCTTCATATAAATAATCAGATTTTGGGGGTAATTGTTGCAGAGTTCTGTCATAATTTTCGGAGATGTTTGCCAAATGCGGGAAAAATTGTTTTTCAGTTACTTTTAGTCCAAATGCGCCAATCAGCTTCCCCAAGGCGACTGGGCAAAGGTTATACGAATCCCGAAATATTACTTCATTACATTTGTTGTTGCGGGGAACCTTCAGTTCATAAAGTTTATTACCACGACGGATCATTGACGGAACAAGTCCTTTCAGATAAATTTCCTTGAAAACCATAATCATATCATAACGCCCTCCATTGTGTGAAAATGCCATTGTTGTATATTGGGGGTTAAGCTCAAATAGAATCCATTGAATGAAGAATTTAAGCGGATTTTCTGTGACAATTTGTTTATCGACTTTTGTTTGAGTGAACGGACGGTGTGAAAATGTGATTGATCGATTGTTTCCGCAGATTGTGCAGCTGTTTCCATTTTGTCTCAGAGGCGAACGCCATAATTGCTCATTTTCCATACACTTTGTACAAGTTACTGTTGCGGCAATGAAGTTTACATTGTGGAGCCGCCTTTCTTCATCACCGTTATTTATTTTCTCGTTTTGCGTTGCCTCAAAATCGAAGGTTACGAGACGATAATCAACTGGTTTTTTAAGTTCCAATGGGCGAATATAGCACCCTCTATCCATACTGTGAAATTGCCGGCAAATTTGGCACCATTTCTGTCCACACACGTGCTTCTTTTCACTTTCCCTCTTGTAATTTTTCATTGACCATATAACACCGCATTTCTCACAAATTTTTGTTTGCCGACAATTGCTGCTTTTTTTGTGATGATTGAAGCAGTCTTCATTTAAATATTTTTTCCCACAGTCATCACATTTTTTGTAAAAGTCTCCTGCTGCCACACATGGTCTGTCACTCCCTACGCGCCCGCAAAGGTTGCAGCGTGATTTACATTTAAAGTCATGCTCCTTTGATTTTCTGAATTTCTTTTCACATGTAAAGCAATATTTTAACCCCATTCCAAACATTCCTCCAACATTTCTTATTCCGTCAAAATGGTTATTTAAGTGAAAAATTGAAATTGCCACATTGAAATTTTCGCTCCCATATTTGAATAGAGGTTTCTCACTTGCACTTCCAAAAACAAATACTTTGAATTTATAACCTGTATTCTCATATTGATTGTTCCAAAAATCGACAACAATTGGTACATATTCCACTGCATCATATTCAGGGAGATCTTGAGGGATTTTTGCTGCTTTTAGTAGATCCAAAACGTCATTCATTTGCCGATGTTTATATTGCATATATGCGTTAAATTTTCTTCTGTCTCCCAACTCTTTAATAACATATTTACGTGAAATTTCCAAAGCATAAAATAAGCATAAGTTGTTTGGGTTATCTATTTTAATAAATACTTCACCTCTTAGTTGTCCATCGTCCGTTGCAGTAGTTTGTGGTGCGCACCCTCTAATTGATTGGCTTTTTGAAAGTGATGAAATGCCAAGTGTCTGAATTTTGATTGTGAAGGGTTGGCCAAGAATTGAACCCTTTTCTATTTTAGATTGGGAAACAAGCTGGAATCTATTAAGTATATTCTCGATTGTATCATTTTCTAGTTTTCTAATTGGGATCCATATGTCGTTATCTAATAGTTGTGAAGAAATTATAGCTCCTAAGCGGTCAGGTTCAATTGATTGATTTCTTGAGGCTTCTACGGTTTGATCCATACAATCTTGAATAATATTTTTCAGTAATTCTTCCGGATTCTCAGGTAGTTTTTCGATGATAAATTTTCCTGTAGTTCCCACCATTTTATATTTTTTGTTAAATGCGGTATCATAGTCTATTTGTCGATAATAATTTTTTGGTGGATTAGCCCCCGTGCCGTTTTGTGAGTTATCAAATAGATGAGGAAGAAGATTTTGGATGCTGAATCTTGGGCGCTTGTTGGAGGAAGGTCCGTTTTGTCCGTTATTAGAAGACATTTTTAAGTTTTTTAAATAGCTAGTTTTTTTGTTTTTGAGTCAAATGGTTAAGAATGACAAAAAACTTGCCCTTTTATACTCCTCATTTTGGTCACGTGACCCGATTACGAAATATTTTCTCAAGGTCATGGGACATGTTGTATAATTTGTTTGTCCGAAAGTCATTAATCATCTTAAAGAATTTTTAGTTAACCACATTTTCACTTATTTCGAAATATTTCAAGGTCATTCGGTGTAACAACTTTTATCACAGTCTGCTGTCCAAAATAATTCAGTCCCATACCAAATTCCCAGCTGAAGTTCCCAACCTAAAATATTTCAGCCCCCAGACTGAAATTATCAGCCCCAAATTAATTCAGTCCCAGGTTGTAGTTCCCGTCATAAATATTTGAGTCCCAGACTGAAATTCCAAGGGTTAATAAATTTTTAGGGGAATTTAAAATTCCCGCCAAATAGTATTTTAAGGATGACATTCTGAGAGTTGGCATTGTGTCATTGTGGCATTTTGTCGTTTTGACATTTTGAAATTTGGGATTTCGTAATAGTTGGCATATTCCCCTTACATTCTGACTTCCGCCCATTTTTGCAAATCATTTTAAAATTTTTCAGAATTTTTGTAATTTTTCCTCCTTCATATTTATTTAATTTTTTAATTTTAATTTTAATATTTTTTAATTTTTTAAATATTTAAATTTTTTAAATTTTAAAATTTAAATTGAAATTTAAATTTTGATTACGAAATTTCGATTCGTCATTTCGAAATTTCGACTCGAAATTTGAAATTTTTTCAAAAATTTTGAATTTTTTAATTTTTTAAATTCCCACAAACAACCAATAGGAGCCAAACTTTTTGGAATATTTTTAAGTTTTCCCCAAATGGCCTTGGGAGGGGAATCAACAATTTTCCTTACTTCCCTTCATTTTAATTTTCTTCCTCCAACCCCTCCCCCAAAGTTTACCGGGAAATACATAATTGGGTTAATTTGATAAAGTGTTATTAAACCTTCGTGGCCGACTGGTTAAGGTTTCCGCATTTGAAAATTTTGGGGAAGGTTCGATTCCGCTCGGGGATTTAATTATTTTATTAGGTTTTTGATCTTTGATCAAAATATTTCAGCCCCAAACTGAAACCCCTGCCCCCCAAATATTTCAGCCCCCCAGATAGAAGTCTTGTACTTGTACCTTGTCACATATCAATCATCATAACCTGTCACTTTTCATGTACCTTGTAACTTGTCACTTGTATCTGTACCTGTCAATCAATCAGAAGCTGTCACTTATCACTCCGGGAGCCGAATAGTTCCCCACACCCTTTGGTTTCCGTGCCATTGGTGGTGCGGGAGCCGAAGAGTATCCCAATCCTTTTGGTTTCCCTCTGTCTTGCCGCACCACTACTTGTACTTGTACAAGGTACAAGTACAAGGAATTGTTGGTGTGGGAGGTGGAAACCTCCCACACCCTTTGGTTTCCCCTTTGACACGCCGCCATTTCCCCGCACAAGTGCGGGGAAATTGATGGGGGCGGGGGGTGGAAACCCCCTAAACCTTTTGGTTTTTGCCGACAGACCCCTCCCCCTCTAAAATGTCCGCCAAATAGGTCGGACATTTTGGGGGGGGTAACTACTGATATCCGGAACCGAACCGATATCCGAACCGAAAAATCATCGGTTCTTCGGTTCGGTTCGGTTCGGTCCAGAACCGACAACCCTAAATCTAAATAACCTAATTAGTTAAAATATTTATTTTTTAATAGATAAGTTTCAAGTACCTTCAATTTCACTCCTTTCTCTGATACAAGGTTGGTCAACTTTAGTGTCTCCTTTAAATTCATTTCGTTGTCTACATCCATGAATGCAAATTTGATGATGATCGTTTTGCTTAAAATTAATTTTTAAAATTAACTTCTCAATTCTTACATTTTCTAATAATTTTGTAGAAGCTTCGATAAAAACACTAAGAAATTTATTGCCAAATTTTCGTATTCTTACAGTTGTATCCAAATGATAAAGTATTACATCTGCGCGAATTCCTTCTTCAGAAACGAGTATTTTTACACTCCTTTTAATTTTTAAAATTAATTTAATATTTGACATATGTAACCAGCTGGATCTTTTCTCGCCTGCACTAGAGTTATAAGCTTGAGTTTTGACTAGATTAGTAAAATAGGAAAAACTAAAAGATAAATTGAATCAGATAGAACCTACATGCATTTTTATAAATAATTTGACACTGAAATAAATCATTTTTACTTCATGTTTTTGGAATTACTGAGGTCAGAATAATACATAATTTGCACCTTAACTATCTTTTTTGTATATTGTTTTATTTATTTCTCAAGTATATCATTTAACATTTAAATTTCTCAATTTACTTTAGCTTTTGACTAAATATTTTCATTAGCTTTAAGCAGACAATCCGAGAATATACCTCATTCTATATTATAAGACATTTGAATTTTTAATTCACTTTCCCTTGACAAAAGATAAACAAAATATCTATCCTTGCTTTTCTCACGATAATCTTACTTAGACTTACACTTTAAATTTCTTAATTTAACAAACAAAAATATTTATTAAATGTCTATGTACTTTTCTTTCAACGATTTGTTTTAAAGTTTTTTGAGAAGAAAAGTACAATCGCTTTTTTAATTTCATTATTTGTCAGCCATTTCGAAACTTTATTTACTTCCACTCCTGTATAATAAACAAGCAATTTTGATAGTTTTTTGCGTCATTTCATTATATTCAAAAAAATATAATGAGTCTGACTTTGAAAAAAGTCTAAAAGAAAAACTCTTACGAGGAAAGGTTGCGAGGTATCCGACCTATAAACGGTCGAGACCGGGCTCATTCTCTATCGAGAGTGTGCCCTTCTCTATCAAATGAGCCCGGTCTCAACCGTTTTAGGTCGGACACTCGCAACATCTCTTCGTAATTTAGCGTACTCTGTAGATTTTTAATTTAGTTTAGATGAATCTTATGAATGTATTTATCTTTATAATATTCAATTCGATATTATGGAGTTCAATTAATTCCGTGAAAAATAATAAAGATCAAAATTTAATTGAAGAAACTGATCAGAATTTAGTTAATTTTCATGGGAAATTAAACAAAGAGGCTGAATCATCGACTAATCCTCAAAGTCAAAAATATAAAAAGGCGATTAAACTAAATCATAAACCTACTAAAAATACAAAAAAGGACGTGAAAAGAAAGAATGAGGATGAAAAAAGATTAAGGAGAGCTAAATATTGGAAAGATTACAGTCAAAAGAATAAAGAAAGGTTAAAAGAGATTAAGCGAAAGTATGATCAAAATAATAAAGAAAAAAAACGAGAATACATAAAAAATAATATGGAAAAAAGGCGAGAATATATGCGAGAATACCGCTTAAAAAAGAAAAATGAAAAAGGACAAAAGGATTGTCTAAATCTGACTAACATTCAATCAGATAATAATAAAGGAAATTCACACAATGATTGTGTAGATAAAGGAAAGAATCCGATTGTTTGCGAGGAGAACGATCAAGAAAAGAACGATCAAAAATCTTCTCAAAAGTCCCTTCCCCATATCGAGGAAGGAAATTTATTTGTTAATCCACAAACGGATGTTAACCCTCATGAAAAAGAAAATGTTCAAACGGAAAATGTTCAACAATTAAATGAACTGAATGATTTGGATTATCTTAAATTTTTGTCTGATATTAATTATTTGGATAATTTAAATTTCTTAAGAAATTGTGATGATATGTAAATATAAGCGAAGTTTTAATTTGAAAAATATATTTTTCGCACGGAGAACATTTATTTATATTTCAACAAATTGTAATAATTTTCTTAACTGTATTATATAAACTAATTTCTAGCTAAAAAATTGTTTTTTTCCTTAAATGCCGCTTCGCGATACTTGAACACTTATTATGCATCATGTATAAGGAATGATAGGTTGTCGGTCAAGTTTAATTTCCAGGATTAAGTTTTGCATTTAATTCATTCTAATTTATCTTTCAACTTTTTGTTTTGATCGAAAAAAAGCACGGGGCTTATTTAGAGTAAATAAGTATTTAGGAGTTTAATTATCAAAGTTTAAGATCTTTAATAAACATTTTAATCTGATTAGATCCTTACAGCATTTTCAAAAAGACATCATTCAGAGAACTCCCAAACTTTATTAGTGTTTACAAAAATGCATTTAGTATTTTTTAATCTACCTTTTATTAGTGTGTTCCCCAATTTCGTTTGTCCCGTCTTGAAATGTCCCCGTAATTGGGCCTGGGTCGCCAGCATCGGCTAAATATATTTGCTGAATGGGTATACATCCCTCACGTGGCCTGACAATTACAGCAACCTTAAATTAAACATTTTCCTTCGAGCATAGAATTTTTCGAATTTTAGAAAAAATTTTTTTGAAAAATTAAAAAAATTGCCTTTGAAATAAACTGTCCATTTATTCCATCAAACTTTTCTGTTAATTCGTCTATAGTAACTTGCACTAATAAAAACCGACTGTCAAATAGAGGATAAGCTCCAGTGATAGCACAATTCTCAGGCACATTTGTTTGGAAGCGATTTAAATGCAACTGAAACAAAATAAATCTTCGGAACTGGAAATGGAGACTGTGTTTTTGGGGATATTTTCTATGTTTAGATATTTTCTATGTTCATTTCCTTTATATCATTTGAAGGCTTGATTCAAATCAACCCAGGAAATCAAGTGAATGAGATAAGCTTAAAAGTAAGGTAGCTGGGCTATATGTAGCTATTTCTCTCCTTTAGCTATTGCAAAAGGTTAATCAGCGGCTGGGAGCGAACCAGCATCTTCAGTAGGCAGATCTGCTATGTTAGCAATTACACCACACCGCCTACTGCATAGCTAGGAATTAAATAGCTATCTATATGCATTACATAAATAGAGTTAATCTAATCAGATTATCAAATCTTGATTTGTATTCTCAAAGATTTTTGAATGAATCCTTTGAAATATTTACTAAAAATTAATTTTACTAACATGGCCAAAAATTGCACATTTTCTACTATAATCATAATTTCTGCTGTTAATATACTCCATCTCTTCAAGTTTCTCAGGTTTATCTTCGTCATAAAAATTATTATCATATTCATCATATTCGTCTGTAAAAATTGAAAAAAAAACTATTAATATGCTTAGTGTTAGTAAAATATTCAGATTTTTCATTAACACTTTTAAGTGATTTTGAAGGAAAACTTTAATGCTATTCTGAATCTGATAGGATGTTAATTTGTTTTAAATTCCAATTAATTCCTTGCATTAGTCAAGACTCCAACCGCGAAAGTTTTTCTCAAAACTAAAAAATTCTCAAGTCACCTTTCCTTTTGTGCCTTCTTTGTTTCAAATGTTCATCACCCCAAAATTGACATTCAGATTCGCTAAGAGTTTTCCCTTCAAATTTTTTACAATTAAATCTTCTCCAATTTTGGTTAGCTGCAGTTATTGCTGAATGAAATTCAAGTTGAGCAAGGCAGGTAATGAAGGAATCGTTTAAACAACTTAAATAATCCTGAAAGGATGTTAGGTTATTTTCAATCAGATTTAAATTTTTCATGTCTTTGGGTTGGAACAGTGTATGTAAATACTAGAGACCGGACAAGAAGTTTCGTACGAGAATCGAGATATCAAAAAATTCTCGATCTCGATAACCGAGATTTTCGATCGAGATCTCGTCTCAGTCCGGTCTATAGTAAATACCAATCCCGTAATTTAGTTTATAATTTAGTATAATTTTCCCATCGCAAATCTCGTAATTTTATTGAATAAATTATTTTAAATTTTGCTTAATTCAATCGACAATTTTTATTTAGTCCCATATTATTATTTTTAGTCCATATTATTAACAGATTTTGGTTTTTAACAGAAGAAATCATTAATAATTAAAGCGTGAAACGCAATGTATCAGTCATTATTAAAGTTTGCAAATCTAGACTGGATAAGGACCGAATTTCCAAAATTTTTTGTTCCGCATAATGGATAGATTCCAGGTCTCTTCACAGAATCCCAACCCAAAGTCCTCGTTTCACTACCTTCAACAAAATACAGTAATCAACACTTGAGGACGGCTCAGTTCCATGTTCTTCAAGTAGTTGAGTAAATCTATTAGTGCACATATTTACTAGGCAAGGGACTTTGTGTTCTCTTAATTTTCTTCTCCTCATTTTCTCTCCATTATTTTGTCCACAAAAATCACAAAAAATAAATAAAATATACAAATAATTAATTAAATTTAATTTCATTATTTAGGGGGAGTAACCCTTTTGTTGTTAATTTTAACAATTTTCTGAGGCATTCCAAAATTTTATTTATTTTTGTTGTTGAATTAAATAGAGCGAAGTACCGTAAATGCTGAAATAATGTCCCTCTCTCAAATAATTACCCCCTTCCTATTAATTACCCCCTTCAGAGAGAGGTTGAAAAAATAATTACCCCTCTTAAAAATAGTTATAATTAGCCTGCTTACAAAAAGCTCAAATAATTACCCCCGCCCTTTTAATTACCCCCTTCAGCGGAAGGTTGAAACAATAATTACCCTGGGTAATTATTTTAGCAAATACGGTATAGGTAGTTTTTTAGTTGACTTTATTGTTTTTTACTCTTTAAAAGGACGGCGACTTTTTGGCACCAAAACAAATTGAGGGTAGTTAAGGTTAAGGAAGGGAATAACCTAAAAGATCGAGTTAAAAAGATCAACTCTCATTTTGAGAAAAAATAGGAGGGAAATAACCATCTCTAAAAAGAAAAATAATTTGGAAATCGCTGGAGAGATTGAAGAGAAAAGAAAATATTTCCGAATTTTTTAACAAGAAAATTATATAATTGTATAGGTGATATTTTGGTTCTAAATTGGTAAAATTTGATAAAATAATTTAAAGTGACAATTGCGATAACAAAATAGGCGAGGAAATTATAAAAACAAAGAGAATTGACCAGCTGGAATGGTGAAATTTTTGAGTTTAGTTGAGTCTAAAGCTAATAACTAGTACATATAGAAAGGCGTAGAAAATTTTTGGTGATTATTTGATGGAGAATTGAAAATTTTTAAAATAAATAGAAAAACAACTTTTCGGAAAATAGCAAAAATAATACTAAAAAGTAAGGGAAGGCTCACACTCGTTTAGTGTAATTTTGAAATTAGTATATCTCTAAAATTGGATTTTTAGTATGTACGTTTGTTAAGTATGCTCCGGTATTCGACGGAAAGTTTTTTTGAAGGGGGCTGGAAAAGATTACTAGAAATTCTGACTTTTTCCCACAAATCTAGGCTTAATTATAATTTTATAACTGAAATTACTCGAAACTCGACAAGATTTTTCTCAATCCGACCATTCCTTTGTCATATGTGTTCGAAAAACTAAATAAAAAATAAATAAGAAATATTTATAATTTATCTGACATTGAAAAAATATTAGAAAATTAGTGAATTAACCGAACAATGAAGTGTGAAAAAATAAAAACAATGCGCGACATTAATAGGTGCATAAAATTATTGTGGTTGAAAAAACGTGAATTATGAATGAGAGAAATTTGGAGAAATGGGGTAGATTTAAAGTGAGGAACGAAAAATGTAGTTAATAAAGCGGATAATATTCTCATAAATATTTTTTGAATATTAAAAAAATTATAGACTGTTCTATCCGGGCAACATTACATCAGATCCAAGGATATAGCTCATCTAGGGACTAAGGTTGTCGGACAGTTGAAAATCTTCTGATAGCCGGATTCGGTATCCGAACCGGAATTTTCCGAATATCCGATCTTTTTTCGAATCAGGATATCCTGATCCGACAACCTTACTACAAGGTGGCATTATAATAGAAATTTTACAGTGATTATCTCTTACTAAATTAAAATACATATTACCCCAATTTTAAATCTGTTAATAATACTTCAATCTAAAAGGATATAGCTAGGGACACTAATTTGTTGTCAATGTTTAATTTTTAATTCTTCACTAGATTTAATAGATTTCGTTATTCTAGCTCTGAACTCCCCTTTTCTTTCCCTTAATCTACAAAATTAATTAATTGAAAAAAGACTCAAATGACTCAATTTTTAGATAAAAATCGGAAATTTTATTTTTTTCACAGCAAATGACCACCAATTGCGTTTTAAGCAATTTACCTAATCGAATTAAGCACAGTTGAATAAACATAGTTGTTGATTTACTATACAAAATTATAGGTAATTAAGATACACTGAACAATTTAAAAATATATTTGAGTGAAATAATATTTGAAACACAAATGTTCTTTTGCTAAAATAAAACTTTCTTAAATTTACTAAGTTCTTGATTATGATAGAAAGTTAAAAATAGAATTGCCTACTAAAAATATTTTTATATTTTATTTAATTTTTAGTTTATTTTATACATAAATTAGAAAAATGCTTAAACAATAAGTTAAAGTTATTATTAGAAACATAGTTCCAAAAATCCTTATGGTAAGTATCTGCTCACAAAAATCTTTATAATTAGCTACACAATAAGGATTGGAAACAATCAGTTCAAAATTGATATATAGGTTGGTAGGGTTTTTAAATTTTATCAGATATCTACGGATTATTGTAGGTATAAAAAATTTCTTTTATCTTATTAAAACGAATAAAATTTAATTAAAGTTTCATAAATTTAATGTTTTGGTTGAAATTATTTTTAGCAACAAAAGTCTATTAAAAACCAACCACCTATTGCTATGTAGTAATAAATTTTAATCAAAGAAGGATGAAAAGAGACAGATGGATTGTTTGTTTGTTTAAACAAAATAGATTAAAATAACTTTTCTAATGATTAATTTTAGTAAAAAATTTTATTTAGATAATAAAGAGGAATTTAATTTTGAAAGAATATTTGTTAAAAAATAAAAAAAAATTAAAAATATTAATAAAATTAATGAGAGTTTTAATGGGTAAATTGAAATAATTTAAAAAATAAAAATTAGGAAAAAAATGACGATTAATCCAAGTTAAAAATCCTTTAACTAGATTGAATAAAAATATTTTTAACTAAATAATTTTTGTGAAAATTAGTATAGGCATGTATTAGTTAAGTTAAATGAGACTTGGTGAAAGCTAAATAACTGTTTAGAATTTGTTCTAGCGAAAGAAATTTTCGGTATCTTGTATTAAATTTTATGGGCTTTCAGTAAGGCTTAAAAGGATCATTTAAATAAATACGCGGCCTTAAAGATTGAGGCTTCTGGCCTTCCAAAAGTGGGATATTTGTGGTTTGGACGGATATTAGAGAGTTGAAGGATATCATGGGTTAATATACTTTTAATTAAGATTAAGAAAATGTTTTACATGGTATATGACATCGAAATATAATACATAAAATTATTTAGAATTTGGATATATCCTGATTTAGTCTTAATTGGTAGTTCGAAATTTAAATTCTCTAATTTAAATTCTTCAAAAAACAAAGTATTTCTTTTATTATTTTAAAAGCTGTATGTTCTTATTCTTAACTCAAAAAAACATCATTTCCTTTAAACAACTCCATTCCGCCTCAATGAATAAAATAAAAAAAAACTAAACTTTTGGCGCCACTTTTTGAAATTAACAATTCCTTAAATTAGGTATGAAAGGAAATACAGAAAGTATTTATATTTTTGAAAATATTTTATTTAAATATTTATAATTTAATGGAGAGTTGTTAACGATATTTAATTATACCTAAAGATAGTTTGGTGCATATCAGGGAATTAAGGCCACATTAACCCCTTAAAGCCTTAAAACTAGTCTCAGACAATTTCATTTTATATTATAATGCAGGTTAGCACTCGAGTAATAAAATTTTGAGTACACTGATAAACTTTTCATTTTATTTTGGGAATAATATTTTATGATCAAAATTTTATCAAGATTTTTTGGTTACTGATGAATGAAATATGATTTATGCTAATTTAAATAATAAAGCTAGAAAATCTTTTTTGTTAAATAATTTATAAAATCACTAAATAATTGTTTTATATTTTTAACAAACTTCAATTTTGTTCTCTCACAATTAATATTTACATAGTTGATTCATTCCATTTCTTCCAATAATCATCATCTTGATCTTCGGCCGTCTGAAACAAATTATTTGTTTGGGAAGGTGGTTGGTATTTATGTGGATATTCATCGGGAACATCAGAATCATTTTCTTTAACAGAATATTCTTCATTATCTATTTCTTCAAAATTTTCTGAATTTTTAGTAGCATAAAATAATTCCAGATCCTTAATACTTTCCTTTGTTACATTAATTGTATTTTTATTATTTTCAATTTTCTCTGAAAGCTTCTCAAAAACATCTACAACATTTTTGCTATAAAATTTATAATTAATGTAAGGTATAATATAGTTCCGAAGGAATTACTGAGCAAAAACCATGTTTAACGTCCAATAATATTTCCTATGTGACAAGCATTTTATCTAGTGTACCGTTTGAACCGCAAATTTGGCCGGAACAGCAATCGGAACTGAAATTTTGACCGGATTCGGAACCGGATCTTATTTTTTGGTTCCAGGCCGGAACCGAAGCCGGGACTTTGATAAAAAAAATCTATACTGTAAATAATTCAGTATATCAACTGATTTAAGTAATATCGGATACTGGGAGATATGGACACACAATAAGGAGCCGAGGTTTCTTGAGCCACTCCACGATGAATGAGTGAAGCTGTCGGACTTCTCTTAGCGCCGCAGTCAAAAATTTTAAAAATTTCGAAGGTCATGAAGCCAGATTTTTCAATTGGAAGCACGTCAGGCGAAAATTTTCCAAATCTAGGAATATTAATCTATATTTGGAAAATTAATCTAATCAGAGTGCGGCAAATAGAGGGGAGTTTTGAGAGAAATGGAAAAATAAAAAAAGTAAACTAAGCACGACTTCTACCAAATTTGTATACAACCTCCTACACTGCTTGATATTTTAACGAAAATCTTGGCAATGACTTTAAAATAAAAAAATAAGTTTACGATGCATTTCTATGCTTGTTGTAAACACAAATTCCATGTGCAGCCAAAACAAAATTAAGAAAACGGTGGTGGATATTTAAATATTTTTTAAAATTATCCATAGACACTTCCCCATATTCATATAATGCAATTATTCCACGAATATATTCTTTCTAAAATTTAAAAGAATTTTATTGTTTACTCATATTTACCTTATATTCCTCATTTTCGAGGCGATCAAGCAATTTTTTTATATTTGTATTTTTTGTCATTTCTAAAGCATTTCTGAATTTCTCATTTTT